CGCTTATATTCCAGCAAGAGCCATTCGTTAATGTTCAACATCCATCATTTGTCAACAAAGCCAGCAATCTTCTCTATCCGTCGGAGACAATGTGATCAAAAAGTTTTATTGTACAAGAAAAGCATATATTTAGGGCTTTGTATCGTTCTTGCAATAAATGGGATGATTGAATACCGAAGGCAGAGTGCAAATAGTCAAATCCCTTATTCCTTTGTTCATTTGAGCTAAATGGCGACATCGTTCCCGTTCAGATGGACCAGTCTTTCCATAGCTCTGCTGCGCTTTTCCAGGAAATGAATTTTTATGTATCTCTAAATAGGGACGTAGAGAAGCAAGTGCCAGGACCATCAGAAAGTACTTTTGTCACAACAACCATTAATTAGTAGTTTTGGAATAAAGTTATTTTGAGGTGAAAAGGGGGCGAATCAAAGCATCTTTCATTCTGGTTATTCCCCTAGACCATACATTTCAGTTCAGTTACAACGGACCCAATACATATCTAAACCCGACTTATATCTAACTTCTGGGCGTGGGCTTCTCGACCCAGTGGCTACAGTTTGTGACATACTGGTCCTCGGAGTTCAGGAAGTTAATTGTGCAACAACGCGGAAACATTCCGTTAAAAATACTTGTACAGGAAATATTCCGTTAATAATTCACCTTTCCAGCTTTTCTGGTTCCCCAGTTAGCGATTTTCTCGCCAAAAGTTTTCACGAGGCCACACTTGAGAACCATGCGTACTTGGGGCTGAATTCGAAGTCTTTAAGTTGTGCGTGGGCTGGGAACATCTCTTTGAAACTCCAGCCTCTCAGCTTTCGCTTTACTGGCTCCCGAGTTAGCGATTTTCCCGCTAAAAAATTTCACGTACTCATGCGCAGGGCGTAAACGTGCGTGGAGGTTGTCGTTTGGCCAGGGAATTCACTGGTAAAATTTGGCGCCGGGGGAGTTGAAATACCCTAATAGGCACAGGCACACACACACACAAACGTACACATGCATCATAGGTTGTTAAAATATGCGTTTTTGCTGTGCAGCGCTACAGCGAGCAAAAGAGGCTGCCTGTATCATGGACGATGATAGGTTCTTGCCACGATAGCTCTTCTGGTGGTCCGATCTAAAGAATTTACACTAAAGAGATACAGTCCTAGGCCGGTAGAGTGGTCTTTAGTAGCAGTAGTAGCCCAAGTTCCTCAACTGGACGCAATACGTCGGCCCTCCTTTGATTGTTTGGCGAATGCAACTCGTGGAATCCTCCTTCAATTCGTTTGGCGAGCACAGTACGTCGGCTCTTTCAGTTCTTTGAGCTCGGTTCGTCGGCTCGTATCGTCCTTATACACTCAAACTTGGCTAATATAACTCCTATCAACAAACGGCAAAAAATCGAATAAACGTAATGTGGACGTAAGCACGAACACGTAGTAAAATGGCACACATTATACATTATGTATCATCGAATTATAAAACTAAAAATTGGGTTGGGGGTGCACATCGCTTGTTATTGACGTCCTGCCTTGCCGGTTACTCCTGGTCGTCGTTGGTTCTGTCCGCCGTCGCCCGTCGTCGTCCTTCCCTTGCAGAATGAGGAGACTGACCGCAGGGCTTCGTTGTTCCTCCTCGCCGCCTCCCGTCGGCGCCATACAAAAAAAAAGTGAAAGAGCACGTGCACTTTACACGCGCACAATTACAAAAAAATGCATTTTTGATTTTGAAATAAACTGCATGAATCATGCTTCTCGAGAAGTTATATCTTCTCGACAGTATGTGTTGTGTGTTCAGAAGTGAGTGCATTTTAACACCCACTTTCATCTCAGCAACCAGGAAAGCTGGGAGGCTGAAACTTTGGGTATATGTTCCTACCCCATGTGCCACCCTTTCGTTTCAACATATTTCCCCTCCCCTCCCCCACATGCGCCTAGAGCCCGCGTACGAGCCCCCCAGAAAATATGCAAATTTCGTTGGCGAGAAACGATTTCGCGAACCAGGCAAGATAGAAAGCTGAAACTGTGCAGAGATATTCTCTATGCACGTGCGAGCTAAAGATTTTAAATTCAGCTGTCGAGCTCGCTTGTGAAGCGCGTATGCTCACTTCAAAATTGCAAATTGGGTATTGTGCTAACTCGAAAACTTGCCGGAAAACAGTGGCTGAAATTTTTTCAGCATGTTTGCCACCCACATGAAAAATAGTGTACCCAAAATGACTATCGACTTGCACTTGCGCCACGACTTAGGGTACTTCAAAAATATTTGTAGCGAAGTGGATATTCCGCTTACCAGATAAGCTACAAGGCTGAAAACTTGCTGGAGTATTCTACTCTCAAGTACAGTCTTAAATCTGCTTGAAGAAGGAACTTCCTGCAGGCAGGCGTGAGAAATACCTAACTTTACTGGAAACTCTGAAATGAGTGCGTTTTTCAGCGAACGACCGCCCTCACCCAAATGTTTAAATGAACATTATTTCATTTGCAGACTTGGATTTTTTGACAAACGACCGCTCGAGCAATATTTCCACTTTTTTAGTGAACTGGAAACTTGCACTTCTAATTTTTCACAAACCGAGCATTTACCGAAAAAACGATCTGACTTCATGCAAACCAGGCTGGAACGCACCAGGCGAGCCGGCGCGATCACGCATTTTTGCATCAAACTTGAAGTAATTAGGTTAACTGCATGAACGGTTGTTTCTTCACATCTACCTAGTGCGCTCAACACCATAAATTATCGTAAATTTTGCTTAAAAAGAAATAAACAATTTCCATCTAGCGGTTTATCAACTTCATAATTTTCCGCCAAAAGAGTTTGACGGGGCCGTATGTGAGAACCGCATACGGCTGGGGGCTGAAATTTTAAGTCGTACATGTGTTGGGGATATCCTCCGAGAATTTCAGTTTTTCAGCTCTGCTAGTTCCCGATTTAGCCGTTTTTCCGCCGAAAAATCTCACGGGGCCGCACGCGGGAGCCACACACTCCTGGAGGCTGAATTTGAAATCTTTTGAGTTATATGTGAACGGGGAACATAACCTCAAAATTTCAGCTTTCTGTCTTTTCTTGTTCCAGAGTTATCAATATTCCCGCCAAAACTTTCATTCCCTCGTAAAAGGGGCCCAGGTTTGCGTGAGGGTACGCACCGCGCTTCTGGGTGGCACTTGGCCGTGGAACCTACTAGCAAAATCTTGGCGCTGGGACTTGCTTGATCGCTGAGTTGAAATACCCGGACAGACACACACACACACGCACACACACAAACACAAACAAACATACACACGCACACACAGACAGGGTCGTCGCAATATGCGTTTTTGCAATTTGCATATAGGTAAAAACGCACAAAAACTGGTAATCATGCACCTGGATCTTCATGCAGCTCTACAATGCACCATCTTCATCCTTACCGACGCCCTCTTTCTTGCATGCCGGAAGGGGACAAAGCACGGCCATTGTGAACCCAAGTGTTAGGCTACAGCGTAGGGATCATTCCTGCTATTAGCGATCTGCAAGTTAGCGATGGTTTCCTCTTTCATCACGTTGAATATCGGGTCTGACAGCAACTTTTTTAAAAAGATCCTTTGTGTTTGCCTTCTAAAGGCCTACAGGAATATATGAATGTACAACAATACGTTTGTGATAAAACAATACACGTTTTTCTAACATAAATCCAGAGCTTCCCCAGATCCTCTCTTCCAGGTGAATTTGCTAACAAAATGAGATACGGTGCATCTGCCAAATGGAAGTACAATGAATCGATTGTGCTGTGTGGTACTAATCATGTCCCACACACCCACATGCAGCCGTCGTATAAACCAGTTGCAGCGGGTGTGCACACCACACGCAATTCCCATTCAAACCTTCCCCTTGCTCCCGTTTCTAATTCCTTGCAAGCGGGGTCACAACTCTCTTGCAGTCAATGGCCCTTCCTCCCCCTTTTGCGATTTCCAATACCTAAATATCGCTCCGGCATTCACTTCTCCGCTCCTCTCTCTCAACTTCTGCCCTCCACCGCGCAGCCACAGCACTTCTACGACATGGTCGAGCCGAGCCGAGTTTAGAAACTGCCCAATCCAAAGATTCTTTGCAATACTCCAACAAACAAAGTCATTTTTTTGTATGAAACCCGATCTGCATTTTGTCTCTCTGTGTTTTATACCAGCTGAAAATGTCTTTCTTTGCAAACGATACCAGTAGTTATTGAAAAATTTTATCCTCTTAAAATTAGATGTTATAGTGAATTGAAAACGAAGACTAATTTTTGACTTTTTTCTCTAGCCGAAACTCGTCAATTTCCATCACTTTTTTTTTTCTTTAATATTTTTTATGCCGAATTCGCAGCATATGAATCCATTTAAAAAAAAAGCTTTTTAAGCATCATTTGACTTTACATTGTTACTTCTACACTTCATCTCTGTCAATTTTTTGCCAAGCAGTTTTATCAGGTTTTCGCGTTTTTTTCTCAAATATTTTTTTTAGTAAAATTCTTTTTTCTTTTTTGTACTGCTTCTTTTGGGGGGAAATCTCAAAAGCTGGGTTGCAAAAATGACGCTTCCAATTTGTACATACCTCCTTGCACTATTCAGTCTCTGCTTTCTTTGACTTGGTACCATTCTCTTGTAGGGCTTGTAGGGCGCATAAATATTATGTTTGCTGTGTTTTGAAACTGCAGACCAGAGCGATCCGCTACTGGCACCATTCTGTGGGTTTTAGCTCCACTGTTTGCTGTTAGAAGCAGACTGATGACGATTTGAGTGTATTGTGCA